TTTTCCTGTCTGAATTGAATTTAAAACTCCAGTTCCTTCTCTGTCCAGCTGGATGATCCTAGGGACAATAAAATTAACTGATCTCTACCCCTGACTCTCAACTGCAATGCTACCACACTGTCTTCCCTACAGGGCTGTCCTAAAAACAGACTGAAAACCCTTGATCAACTGCAAAGTGATATTTGCATATTATCTATTGTTATTTATTTACTTTTCCTCTCTTCCCCACCTCTCTCCCCCATTACCTGATCCTTGGTAGATGATCTTGTCTCTTTGTCTGAGAGAACAGATGCCAGCAGACAGGAATCCCTCATCTTTCCAACACCAAACATGCAGACTGCTGCCCTCTCCCATCTTTCCCTCTGCTAGGATGAAAGAGCTGGATTCCTCCTGCTGAGCCTAATGCCTCTCCCTGAGCTCCCCCAACACACACCTGCCACTGCCTAAGCAATCAGTGCTGTCCTCTTGGACTTGGAACCTCCCCTTCTCAGCTGGATCACTTCCTAGGCCTTTAACAGTGATCTAAAGTCTCCCATTAAAACAATAGTAATGCATCATTAAGGGCTGGGGTTGTGGCTCTGCCTTAGAGTACTCATCTAGCATGTGTGAGGCCCTGGGTTCAATCCTCAGCACCACATATGAATGAATAGAATGTATTGTGTCCACCTACAACATATATATATATATGAAATGCATCACTAAGCTATTGTGCTTGTGTATATAAAGGCAGCCCTCCCACCCCAGCTTTCACACCCTCAGTCTTTCAGATAAGAGGAAAGAACCTACCATAGTTTTTGAACACCCCAGATACAAACGAGAAGATACATATCTTACAAGGCCATTTGGTTTGCGACTGCTAACACGATTAAGTCCACACACAGAGGGGTGATGAAAGAGGTGATCCCTCCACCAGATGCGTCTTTGGAGGCTAGGAGTTCTTAAATGGTTTTGTGTCCTGGACTTGCAATCTGGAAAGCCCATGTTCTCCCCTCTCAAAATAATATTAAATGTGTAAAATGAAATAAATATGATTACAGCAGAGAAAGGTGCACACATCTGTAATCCCAATGGCTTGTGAGGCTAAAGCCAAATGGCAAGTTTGAGGCCAGCCTCTCCTCTGAGTTCAATCGACAGTTCTGGGGAAGAAGAGAGAAAGAGAAAGGGAGGAAGAAAGAGAAAGGGAGGAAGGAAGGTAGGTGAGAGAAACAGAGTGGGAGGAAGAAAAAGAGAAAGAAGGGGAGGGGAGGGGAAAACAGAGAGAGAAAGAGAAAAGGGAAAGAAACAAAAGTGAGAGGGAGGAAATTATATCAAAATAGAGTTATTATAAAATTGTGTTATAGTAATGTATTTGCTTCTTTATAAAAGCATTAACTAAGGATCTGGGGATACAGCTCAGAGGTACAACATTTTCCTATATGCACATATACACAAAGACGAAGCATGAAATAAAAAATGTAAAGGCAATGGTGATGAACACAACAGACATTGTAAAACAATATAATTGTTTTATCTTATAACCATCTGTGATTTGTACTGGTGACAAAGACACAACACAACACCTCTGATTCTACAGTCCTTGCTACCTACATGTCTACAGAAGTCAGTGGAATTACAGTTACAAGTTAGCGCATATGAAGATGTCATTTTTCCCATCCAAGGTTATGGATTCTTTACTCTCTCCATGCATCCTAGAACAAGAATATAAACACTATTGCTACTGAACCTGATCAGTTCCTTCTGTCCAAGAACTACCGACAGGAGGCCAACCTCTCCTGGCCAGCAAAACAGAGGTTGGGAGACATGATTTCACCTTGGGACTGTGTCCCAAAGGCGACCAGTTAGGAAGTACAATGCACACAGGGGCATTCTGCCAAAGTCCTATATTTTTAGATTTTGGAAATAACCCAGTTAATATTATGATTTCATTGGAGGTCAAACTGTATAGTATGAATGGACGTAGAGCCTTGTGAAACATGAACTTTCATCAGGAATTCCATAAATTACTTGGGATAGAAAGACTGAGAAATGATAGGAAGAATGTGTGTATATTTTAAACAAAAACTGGTATACTCTCCCTTTTATAATAACTTTTATAGGCCTACCTTTTATAATGTTACAATATAGCATGAATATTTTCCCATGTCAACAAATGCTACTATACGATATTAGTAATAGTGGTATATTATGCTATTATAGACATATGTCATGATTTATTTAAATAATTCCCAGGTATGATGTAAACAGCTTTGCTCTGATGAGTGATGAAGGTTAAATATTTGTCAACATTCTATTTTTATTCCTTTAGAATATTTCTATAAATGGAATATTGTATCACAATTTAGTAACAACCACAAGAACAATGCATATGTTAACAATTTTTTGATTGGTATTGTCAAATTGTCCTCTAGAATGATTGTTTCCTTTCCTGCTAGAACTGGAATCTCTGGCCTTGGCTCAGAAGGTGACAAGGAGACTGGGAGAATGCCCTAAATGATGGGAGGGAAGAGGACCCTGACAGGGAGTGGAGTTGGCCTGGACTGAGCCTAGAGTTAATTTGCTTTTCTCTGGTGATGGAAACATCCTCAGGAAAAAATGTGGGAGGGGTCTCCAGGGCCTGGGATTCCTCATGCTAACCCGATTTAAGTCATTTGGATAGATACAGCCTTGTATAGCTTTGGGAGAGGGACCAAAGGAAGGCAATGGTAACCATGGTACAGGATTACATAGTACAATATAAATATATTACTCAAGGATTACTGTAAGAGGACAGCAGTTTATGGCAGAAGGCAGTTGGTCTAAGATCTCTGTATCTGGCCATTCACCTGTCAATGTTTTCTCTGATCAAGTAATAGGGGTTTTAGGGCATTGAGACTAGTATTTTTTCTTGTTTGTTTTATCATTTTTCTGTTTTCTTTCCTTTGCAGCAAAACAATACATTCCAGAAGGACTGAAACTATTTGATGTTTCTGTTGTATCACCGACAATAGTAGATGAGGGGGAAAAGAAAGTACTTTTTTTCTCCGTTGTTGAAATAAGACATCAGCTGCTGCCACAAACTGTACTGATTTGTTAAAATCCAAGCAGACCTATAACTGGTTCTTACCTGTTCTCCCCTAAGGTGTTATATCGTTCGATTTGGTTTATTTCTTCATGCACATAAACAAAAGATCAATTTCTCTCCATAATCTCGCCTCTCAGATCTTTGCAATTAGATTACTAGTACTGTCTATGGCTTAAATGTGTTCCCCCCCCAAATCCAAGTGTTGGAAACTTAATCCTCAAATTCACACGTTAATGACATACAGAGGTGGGGTCATTTGGAGGTGATTAGTATTTGATGCAATCATGAGAATGGAACTCCCATTTTGGCATTAGTGGCTTTATAAGAAAAGAAAGAGACCAGAGCTGGTGTTCTTGCTTTTCCCCATGTGATACCTGCCAGTGGTGTCATGATACAGCAAGAAAGCCCTCACCAGACTCTGAGCAAACGCCACACCATGCTCTTGGACTTCCAGCCTCCAGAACTGTGAGCCAAATAAACTTCTAATTTTTTAAAAAAATTTTCTTCTAAGTTGTAGTTGGACATAATTCCTTTATTTTTATTTATTTACTTTTACGTGGTGCTGAGGCTTGGATCCAGCGCCTTGAATGTGTTAGATGAGCACTCTACCGTTGGGCCACAACCCTAGCCCTAAACTTCTATTCTTTATAAATTATCTAGTCTTCAGTCTTTTGCTGTAGCATCAAAAAAACAGACGAATTATCTTTGCCCACATCTTCTGGAATTCCATAGGATGCAGCTTCCCATTCATAACTGAAATGTTGCAAAGTTGCATCCATAGACTTCTCCTTTCTTTCTGCTAGAAGCACACATCAGGGGCTCTGGCCCACCATCCTCTCTCCAACTTAGGGAGGAACATCAAAGCTATGGAGAGCAAACACATCCTGGACTAGTGTTTGTTTATCTTCCTTGGGGCTAACCTGACCTGCTCTCACAATTTGGGCTTGCTGGGACTATTGAGACTAAAGGGGCTCCTTGCCTCTTCTCAAGTGTCTTTCCAGGACTCCACTTCTTCCCTGTTATGACATAGTGCCCTTAGCCCTTGCAACTCATGATAGACCACCTTGGTATCTTCCTCACTTCTTCCCTCCAGAGGTCCGCCTTCCTCTCCCTTTCCTGCTTCGTGATACCCACGCTCTCCTTAGGAAAAGCAAGGCTTAGAAAGTTAAATGGGACTTAAAACTATGTCTTCCAGCCAGCCTCGCGTCCTGAGGTTTTTACTGCACTCAAGCTGTGATTGAATTATCCCATGACTCCCCATCCCAGGTCAGGCTTGGAGTTAGATTGCCCGCACCGTCCCCACACCCATCGCAGAACGTCCAGCGGGCACAGAGCACAGGGAAGCTTCACACACGACCCACTGGCAAAGACTTCACGATCTGTTTGGGTGGACAAAATAGCGCACATGAAACGCAGAGCAACCAAAGCTGTATCCAGTCACGCTCCCGTGTGCGTCCCAGATGCGGCCCCAGGAAGAAAACAAGTGTTTGCGGAATCTGGTATCCAAGGCCCTTCAGTCGGGCTTGACTCCCACCCCATCCTACTTTCTAAACCTAAAGCATTCCCACCCCCAGCCCTCAAAGTGCACCCGCCGGCGTCCAAGGGTGGGCCCTGGGTTCCTGCCCCGGCTCCCAACACGCCAGCCGGGTACCCTGGGATCCCACCGGCACCCCGGGGAGGGGTCTGGGAAGGGCAGGCGGAGGGAGGCGGCAGCGGCGCGGCGAGGGGCGCGGGGCGCGCGGCGGCAGGGTCGGGGCCAGGGGCGGGGAGGCGCCGGGCGCAGCCAATCCCCGGGCCGCCCCCTCCCCGGCCGCCGCGAGCCGAGCCCGGGCGGGGGAGCCAGGCGGCGGCGGCGGCGGCGGCGGCGACGGAGGCTGCCGTGGGGAGGGATGGAGAGGGGAGGGGGGAGCGGAGCCGAGCGGAGACAGCCGCGGCGCTGCAGAGCGGCTGGGGCGGCGGCGCGGCTCCCGGTGCTCCCCCCGGCGCGCGCCCCGAGTCGGTGAGGGCCCGGCCCCGGAGGCCCCCGGAGCCATGGGCTGCATCGGCTCGCGGACTGTGGGTGGGTACCGCGGCCGGGCGCGGGCGGCGGAGGCAGGGCTCGGCCCCGGGTCGCTCCTCCGCCCCCTCCCCCATCCCTGCCCTCGCCCCTCCGGGCACCGCTGCCCGCGCCCGCCCGGCCCTGCCTCGCGCCTCCACTTTCCCTCCATCCGCTCGCGGTCCCTCCATTCCTCGTCCTCCCGGCTCGCCTCTGGCGCCTCCAGGGCTTCCGTCCCTCTCGGCTCGGTCCCTTCTCCCCGTCGCCTTCCCGCAGGCGCGGTCCCTCTCCCTTCGTCTCTCGGCAGCCTCCCTCCGCTCCTCCGTCGCTCTGCCCTACTCTCGGTCCCCTCACCCTCCACCTCCAGGCCGTCGCCTCTACTCCGCGGTGCCCAGCGCCTCCTCGCCCCGCGGCTTCTAGAGCAGCCCCCTCCTAAGAGCCCCCTGCCCGGCTCTCGGCTCCCGAGTGCCTTTTGCACGCCCCCACCCCATCCCGCCAACCTCCATCTGGCTCGGGCGTTTTGCCCCCAACCCTTTTCCTCTCGGTTGCCTTTTCCCGTCGCTCCTGCCTCCCCCGATTTGCTTTGTTCACGTGCATTTTCCCTCTGGGGCGGGGGCGGGAAGAGCCTGGTGCCTGGGGAGGGAACCGGTTCCGCGCCCGCAGGGAACCGGGCTGGGCTGGGGTGGAGGGGAGAGCGGTGGACACCTGGACACCCGGCGGAGGCTGGGGCTTGGAGCGTCGAGAGGGGCCGGAGCCCGCTTCCCAGAAGGGTGGGGCCGGCGCCACGGAGGAAGCCCGGGACCCGCCGGCACCTGTCAGCGGGGGCTGTCGGGGCGGGGCCGGCTCTTTATTTACCTTTGCCTGGGGGAGGTGGAAGGCGCCTCCTAATCCGACCTCTTCCTTCAACCTCTGCCTGACTACCGCCTTTCTGTCCCCCACCCCGTGCACCCGTTCTGCTCTTGCGGTTTAACAAATTAATCCAACCCTCTCCCAAACCCCCAATTTTTCCCTTTCCAACTCCCAATTTCTCCCGCCTACACGCCCCAGTGAGTGACCTCAGGCTGAGAGAATAATTCGTATTATTATTACAAACAAACTCACTCTCCGGAAGCCTGATTTCTCTGAGACCCGATTTATTTCCATGGAGACCCCCCTCCTCCTCTGCTTTCACCCCTTCTCCCCAGTTCCCCTTCCCTCCTCCTCCCTGCCCCCCAAGGCTCTGACTCAGCTCTCCCTCTTCCTCAAAGGCCACCTTTCCTCCCTCCCCTCTCTCCCACTCTGCCCTCCGCCATCTCTCTTCTCAGAGATTGTTCTCTGCCTGCCCCATTCCTGCTACGTGCAGATGTCCATATTTTGTATCCCAGTCACAGCCCCTGACCTGACCCATCTCAGCATCCCCCAAGGTACCCAAGAGGGAGCTGGCCAGCTTGACAGGGGTCCTACCTCCCCCAATCCCATTAATTCCAACCCCCTTCCTTTTGTATCAGAGATGCCCCAATGCCTCCTCATGTCCAAGACCCCATTCAATGCATCCTTTCCAAGAACGGACCTGTAACCCCAAACTGAGTCACAAAACTTTTTTGTGTAGAAGATCCATAAGAGCAAATGGTTCAGACAGCCATTTGATGCTTGAATCCCTCAGCAACTCCCCAAGAAGTTCGTCCCTGAGACTTCAGATGGTGCCACTCTGCACTAGGGCTACGTATCTACCCCTTGGCTCCTTGGTTCACGCGCCTTGGTTCCCTTTCATTGCCAGCCCTCAAACCCTGTCTACTCTTCCCTTGTCTTCTGTTTTCTTGAACTTGCCTCAAATTCCTATACTTTCAATGCTGATTTTGCAAAGTCCCCTTGTCTCCTACTTTCCTGTCCCTCCCCTTGAATCTATCACCTGTCTCCCAACAGTGCAGTGTCTCCATCTCACCCTTCACTCTCTACTCTCACTGCTTCTCTGGGAACACACGAGCCCTTGCCACTCTGCCTTTATCCCCACAAGTTCAGCAGTTCTTATGGAAGGTCTTTTCTTGAGGGAAGTCACATTTCTCCCCATCCCCACCCAAATAATAAAGCCTAGGCAAGAAGCATCTCCTTAAAGTTCTGCTCCCTTTTGTACTCTGCAGTTGGTGAAAAACCCAGATCCCATATAGAAACTGTCATTTGGCTCTGGACAGAATGGAGGGTTGTTATCCTACTAAAATCCAACCTCTGATTCCTCCCACTCTGTGTAAACAACAACAACAAACAAGGCCATGAGACACTTTTTCTGAGTGTGCTATTCTTGGTGGAGCTAAAACTGAATGTTTTGGCTCAGCATTATTATTTCTCTCACCAAAAATATTGGGACACTAGGAAATGGGAAATCAGAAGAAAGCATGACAGTTGTTGAGAAGAGATGGGGTATGTATAGTCCCAGTCTGTGGCCTCAGCATTCTGTGAGAAAAGACAAAGGACAGGCCCAGGGGACAAGAGTGAGCAACTAACCTTCTGGTCCTTTCAGGGAATGAGGTGATTGCAGTGGACTGGAAGGGTCTGAAGGATGTGGACCAGATCAACATGGACAGCACCAGCTCACTGCATGGGAGCAGCCTCCACCGGCCTTCTACGGAGGTAAGGCCTCCATGCTTAGCTGCCCCCTTTGCTGGAGAACTCAGAGATCCCAAGAACAGCCATAAACGAAGCCCCTAAGTGTCTAGCTGCCTGATCTTTGAATTCCCTTTCCAAATTTCATGGCAACATCCCCAAAACTCCTTCAGACTGACACTTTTACAGAACATTTTTTCCCGCTTTTCTGAAAATACATGCCAGCCGTTCCCACTGAGATCCTACTTCCCCAAGTTAGCCTCAGGAAAGCTGGCTGCACTCTGCATACTTCTAGACATCCTTCTGAGGAGTGTGGGTTTACACACACCCTTGGAAGTGCCTACAATACCATTCCTTTCCTCTCTCCTACAGCAAACGCGAACTGATTTCTCCTGGGATGGCATCAATGTGAGTGTACTTGTGCCCAGCCTTCCCCAGTCCACACTAACCCCTCTTCTTTATAGTCTCCCTTAGACCCTCCAGAGGACACGTGCTGCCTAGCTCCAGCAGGCACTGTGGGCCCTCCCATGCTCCACCGTGTCCTCCATTTTCAAGAGTGATTGGAGTATATACCTCCTGGGGACTCTAGGATATATGACCTGCCCCAGTGCATATTATTTGTAGAAACCGCGGACCCCTCTCCACTCATAGAACATCCCTATACCTTCTTGTTCTTTGCTTCTCCTCCCATATTCCCTATTCCAGCTCTCCATGGAGGACACAACTTCCATCCTTCCGAAACTTAAGCGAAACTCTAACGCCTATGGCATTGGGGCCCTGGCCAAGTCATCTTTCTCAGGTGAGACCTGCAACCTGGAGATGCATCCAGACAAGGGAATACTTACAAGCTCCTGGTCTCTGTCTCCTCATCCTTTCAAGCTTGATAAGGGCCCATATCCCCATATACCCCTGAGTTATTTGTTCTTTTTTCCAAGCTCCTGTGTCCTCCTCGAGGCTTGTCCCTCTTATGTTGAGTCCCGTGGGATACTTGCTCTAATGGGATGGCAATCCTATGGCCTGGGCAGGGATGATGGGGGGCAGGGTCTAATTTGTGATATTCTGGAGGATATGGAGAATGTCTGGCTCCTTAGGGATCTCAAGAAGCATGAAGGACCATGTGACAAAGCCCACAGCCATGGGGCAAGGCCGGGTGGCCCATATGATTGAGTGGCAGGGCTGGGGAAAGGCCCCAACCATTCAGCCGCAACATAGCCATGAGGCCGTGCGCAGGGATACGGATGCCTACTCAGACCTCAGCGATGGCGAGAAGGAGGCGCGCTTTTTAGCAGGTACTTGAACCTCGAACCCTCAAGAGATATGTTTTGAGATGACCACAGACTGACTCTCCAAACTGTTTCCCTATGCTGACCCCATCCATATGCTGACCCTAGGCTTACATTTCCCAATAATTTCAAGTGTTTTGACCGGATGCTGAGAAGGGCCTTCAAACATGCCTGTATTATGATCTTACAAATGAAAGAAATTCTAAGGATTTGTGAGCCTCCTTTTCCTGATGCTTTCTCTCCTACATTGGGGGACTACCCCATGACTCCCTTAGTAGAGAGAAATGCAGGAGCCTTGGGTTTCAAAGCCTCTGCTTCTACTCATGTTTCTAGAAGTGAAAGAAAGCCAGGCTTTGGGGATCTCTTCTAGCCTTGGCCTGTCAGCATTTTGTGTCAGGAATTCACTTACTGGGCTCCTTACTTGTGACAACCTCTTCATGCTCAAGGAAACTAGACTAGGAGACAGCGGTCTACAGAAGGAGTTGAGTTCTAGGAACGCAGTATAGGTTCCATTACAGACATGTAGTTTACCCATAAGGGTGGCAGAGCTCTTATGACAGGTCTAAAAAAAATGCCTACAAAGAGGGATAGGTCTAGCAGCAAGGCAATATTTGGTGTGTTGGTGGTATGGGTGATGGAGAAAACAGCAGGACATGCAGAGGTTGGGACAGGGCAGTAGCAATACAAGCTTCAACTGACTCATTACTTTGACTAGAATAGGGTCCCCCAAGTACAACCATGTCCACTATTATACCCTTCTTTCTCCTTCCAGTCCCTTGAGCTTACAGTTTATAACACTGTAGACCCACATTCCCTTGATGTGCCTTTGGGGATTCTCTGTTGTTCTTGAAACTTGCCAGTTAGCTTCTGCTCTCAACCGCCTAATACTAGGTTCAATTCCTAAAAACCTGCGAAGATGAACTTTTGGAATCCCTAACTTTAATCTCACTAGAGACCCCTAACTCTTTCCCCTAGGCATCCTAAATCTGACCTTCTGGGAAGTCCCACAATATTGCCTTGTTTCAAGGTATATACAAAAACTATGCTGTTCAATACAGTAACTACTGGCCACTTGAAATGTGGCTAGTCCAAATGGAGATGTGCTCTAAGCGTAAAATACTGACTGGATTTCAAAGACTTCATATAAAAAAAAAGAATGTAAAATATCTCATTAATAGTTTTTATTTTTTTATTTTTTTTAAGAGAGAGAAAGAGAATTTTTTAATATTTATTTTTAAATTTTCAGTGAATATGACATCTTTTATTTTTATGTGGTGCTGAGGATCCAACCCAGCACCCCACGCATGCCAGGCGAGCGCGCTACCGCTTGAGCCACATCCCCAGCCCCCCAGTAATAATTTTTATATTGATGATATGGTAAAATGATAATCTTTTATACATACTGAGCTACATAGGGTATAAGATATATTGTTAAAGTGAGTTTTACTTGTTTCTTTTTTATTTTCTTAAAATGAAACTGGTGGCTTGCATTCTGATTCTGTTGAGCTTCGCTGCAGTAGGGTGTCTCTGCCCCCTTTGCATGTGTCTGCGGGTTCCCTGAGGAATCTCGTGGTGACTGCACTTCTTCTCCCAGGAGTCATGGAACAATTTGCTATTTCCGAGGCCACACTCATGGCCTGGTCTTCCATGGATGGTGAGGACATGAGTGTCAACTCCACCCAGGAGCCACTGGGCTGCAACTACAGTGACAACTACCAGGAGTTGATGGAGAGTCAGGGTGAGAGATGGTTCCAGAACCTAACCCCTGGGGCCTAAGAGGCTCCCCGGTTTCTGGGCTGCCTCTACCTACCTGTCCAGGACTTTCCTGTTGGTCTCGACTCTCCCACTGTCCTCCCACTCTGTGCACCCGCTGTTTTACCCTCAGTCTTCTGTGTTGTCATTACTGCCTCTGATGTTCTGTGGCCCCTTCAACCTTCCTGATTCTCTTTACAGATGCCCTCGCTCAAGCCCCCATGGATGGCTGGCCTCACTCCTATGTGTCCCAGGGCATGTACTGTCTGGGATCGTCTGATGCCTGGGAAGCAAGTGACCAGTCCCTCATTGCCTCTCCAGCCACAGGATCCTACCTTGGCCCTGCATTTGATGACTCACAGCCCAGCCTACATGACATGGGGCCTGTCCACCCTGCTTCAGGATACTCTGCTCAGGAGCCTCCACCGTTGCTGGGGGGAGACACTGACTGGGTGCCAGGGGTGGGTGGGGTGGACCTGGCTAGGGGCCCTGCTGAGGAGGAGAAGAGGCCACTGGCTCCTGAGGAGGAAGAGGATGCGGGATGCCGAGACCTGGAGTCGCTTTCCCCACGAGAAGACCCTGAGGTGTCCACTGCTCTCAGCAGGAAGGTGTCTGATGTCACATCTTCAGGCGTGCAGTCCTTTGATGAGGAGGAGGGTGAGGCCAACAACTAGCTTCTTCCCACGCCACTCTCACCTGAGGGGCATGGCTGCAACCCAGACCCTTCCTTGCCCCAGCAGCACAGCTGAAACCCGGGCAGAAGACCTCGGGGGAACCCTGGAGCTTCCAGCCCTCGCCTGGAAAGTGGAGGACCCACAGGGGTTGTATCTAGGCTTACGCTCTAGAAACCACAGGCCCGGAACTGAGACCCAGGCAACTATATGGCTGTGAACCTGGCATGGTAGTGAGAGAAGAGCCGTGGCTGTGGGTCTCTGGGTCTGCCTGTGTGCAGCCCAGAGACAGGAGGGCAAGGGGCCTGCTGGAGACTGGATCTCAGTTCTTTGCTCCCTGATTCCGTCTTCCAGGAGCCTTGGCTGTGCTGTCTGAATGCCTCCTTTCTCCATTTCACTCTTGCTGTTCCCGACTCTGTGTTTCCTCTGGCAGTGGCCCCAGCTTATTCCCACTGTGAGGAGCAGACCTCATGGCTCGGCGGGCACTGAAGGGCACGTAGGTGTCCAGGGTGGACAGTCTGCCCTCGATGGGTTATTTGGCTTCTGAGATCAGGAGCCAAGGAGGAGGTGGACGTGGCAGCTGGATTTACAGGGAGTACAAGCATGATTCTTTATCTCAAGGCCTGCCCAGAGTTAAGAGGGTTACTAATGAGATCAAGGACAAACACGGCAGCTTGTTCTAGGATCTCGATCTCGAATGTCCCATGGTTTGAAGGAGGATCCTAAGATCTGGGAAAAGACCAGCTGGGGCTGGCTGCTCCAGCTCTGGCTCCCTTCCTGCCTTCTTCCACCCCTTGCTCCAGGATTCTGGCCCTGAGGAGGGTGAGGGACACGAGATCTGCTGACACAGGATGTAGGTGTCCTGGCTGGTGGGGAGCATGAGGGCCAGGGCTCCTCCCACCCACCCTAATTCTCTGGAGCTGTTTACACTTTTCTCTTTGCCTTTTCTACATTTTTATAACTTTGTGGGACTCAGGGTCGAGCAGGGCAGAGGGAGGAGTCGGGTGCTGCTGCTGCCTCGCCCGATGAGGCTGGTGGTTGTGGGCCAAGGTGGGCACTGGTTCCTTCTGTCCCTTTGTCAGCTCCTCCCAGAACTCCTGGGAAGGCCTCCCAGGTGTCCTCCCTCCCTCCCTGTGCTGCCTGAGGAGGAAGAGGGGAGAATCAGTGCATCCTTCCTTCAGGATGGGTTTGCACTGGGGTACAAGCTTACCGTGGGCACCCAGTGTCCACTCTGGTTTGGTTTGGAAGGTGGGGACATGGAGCAGCAAGTCAGCCCAGTACTTCTGTGAGGGTGCCTGAGGACAGGAGCCAGTGTGAACTGGGGAGTGAAGCTGGGCAGAACTTGCCCCTACCATTGAAGTGGTGGCCCACTCCTGGCTTATGGCGGAGGTAGAATTTTGGCAGGAGCAGAAGCCTTAGGCTCAGAGCCTGCTTCCCTTTCCTTGTGCTCCTAAGGCCCCAGCTCAAGGCCTGAGTCACACACTCTGTTAGGGGTCCTACTACTCGATCCTCTGCTGGGACAGGAGCACAAGCTACCCATTCTCCCATAGGCCCGACTTCTGTGGCTTTGGAGTGAAGAGGTCAAGAATTGGGGTGCTTCTGTCCATCTATGACCCTTGCCCTCCACCAGTTTCCAACCCTCATACACATGTGCCCCTCAAGTGCAGCCAGTGCTGTCTTCCAGGGGAGGGGGAGAATGGCTATCCTGAGATTGGTTCTCGGCAGAAATGAGAGTGGGCATGGTGAGCCACGGTAGGTGACTGGTCACTTACTTCATCTAATGCTGCCTGAACGGGAGAAAATACCTCTTGTGCTTGCTAATGTGTCATGACTCGGCGTACCAGGGCCTCACTGCTAGGAGGTCGGGAAGGGGTTAGCTTGCCTACCCAGGCAGCTGTCCAGGCCCATCTCCTGCTGCAGGTCACTGGGGTTTGTGTGCTCAGGCTACCCTCCATCCACAAGGCCCCTGATTCCTTGCCTTATCCGACCCACTCTGTCAGTGCATCACCTTCTCCTCTTTGTCTCATCCCCCAGTACCCTACATTCTACCCCCAGCTCATGGTGGATGCCTAATCCAGGAAGCAGGTTCATTCAGTACAGTTCCTTTTTGCTCAGGGCCCTGGGAAGTTCAGAAAGGTAAACTGAAGCAGCTTTCTTTCCTCCCTCCTTTTCCCAACGAAGCCAAATGGTCCCCGACGGAAGATGATTAAAGAGCTGAAGGAACTAGTAGGGTTCACACATGACTGGGGCTCGGTCCCCTGGGTGCTGCCACATCACAGCAGAGTCAGGTGGGGTCTGCCTTTAGCTAGGCGCTCCACCCGCTTCAAGAGGGAGAAGACCTGAGGAGCTGGCCTGGGACCACTTTGGACTCTTCTGGAGGGAGGGACTGCCTCTCTGGTGCTGGGGGCAGGGTGCATGGGGGTTTGCTTCTAGCCTATTTTAAGGGGAGGGGTGGGGCATGTGCAGGAAAAGGCTGGGGGGTGGGGAAGGGTCGCTTTTCCTTTGGGGTTAAAGGCTGTGCGGCACGTTTTACAGCAGCTCTGGAGCAGAGCTGTTTTTATATTCTTGTGAATGAAATTGCTCTTGCTAAATGATTTTTTTAGGGGGGGGTGCACTTTCATTTTCAACTGAATTTATTAAATGAAAATCCGAACCTTCTATTCCTCCCCTTCCATTGTCCCCTCCCCCCCACACCCCACCTTCCTTCTTATCCTCTTGCTAAGGAGGGGATCTTGAGGGTGGATTCATTATCCTACCCTTGCACCCACCCGTACATCCCACACTGTCTTCCAGGTCTGAGACATCTCCATTTTCATGGCCAGTCTTAGCATGTTTTCTTAATGTGACCTTCTCACCCAGGCCCGAGAGAGATTCTATGACATATATTACAGAGAGAATTCTATATAAATATATAAATATTATAGATTATATACACACGGGCATGGGCTTGGGTGCTCATTGCCAATCTCCCTACCCAGGCTCAGCGTCTGTCCCTTGGCCTGGGGAGGTGGACGGGATGCCACGAGGCTGGAGAAGGCCAGAGCCTGTGTTCAACTACACTAAACAGACTGTGGTGGTACCCTCTGACTTCAAGTGTCTTATTTGGGGGACGGAAGAGACTGGGCACAGGGGAGGGGCAGGAGGAGAATGCTGGGGAGAGGACACAACTGCAGAACTAAATAAGGTAGGCAGGAAGGCAGGGTAAGGAGCCATGCCCTGGGGTGAGGAGCGGAGGTTCTGGATGCTCGGCGCACCTGGCATCTCTTTCAGGAAGGCAGGCTGAGGCATGCTCCACAGCCAAGGAGAAGGATGTGACTGCCCCAAGAGTGGGAAGCACCAAAACAGCCTGCCATTTTCAGGGTGCCCTTGAACTCCACACCCCTAGAAGAATCCAAGGAGCTGGTCTAAGAGGGGGCCAAGGATGTCAGAGAGACCCCAGCCTTGGTTCTTAGCAGCAGCTCTAGCAGAGGGTTCTAGGGGAGAGATGACCCTTGTCAGGACAGGTCAATCACTATAGTGGGGTAAGGGAAGATCCATTTTGTAGGGAGGAACCTGGAAACAGAGGGCAACAAGGAAATGGGGCCTTCTGCTAGAGGGAGTCAGGCAATACCATGGAGCCAACCATGTTATTTGACAGTAAGATACCTGCCCCTTCCATGTGGACCCTTTAGCAACCTTTTCCAGGCATCTGCCCTTGATGGTCTTTTGACACTTTTAAGTCACTGCTTGAAGCAGGGGACAGAGGAAGGGAGGTGTGGTTGGCCTTTCCTGCTCTAGCAATGACCCTAGAGATAGGCAGTGGATAGGATCTGGTGGCACATGGTTGGAGCAGATATGTGCAAGCTGGGGCTTCCAGAGAAGCAGCTGTGGACAGTCTGAAGACACATTCTGGGGTGATCTGTCCACAAGGCCAGGAGGTAGTCCTATCTCCCTCTCCAATATGGCTCTTGCAAGGCCACCATCATTCTGGGCCATTGCTTAGTCTCCAACTTTGGAAACAAAAAGGAAAAGCAAGACCAGGAAGGTGCTGGGACAAAAGCACTGGGGAATTGGAAGGTGGTGAGGGGAGGCAGGGACCCCATCCATACAACAGGGAACCCCAGGAAGACCCATGGGATATCAGGGGACCTTCCTGGGGATTAGAAACACCTGCCTGGGGAATGGAGAAGTGTCTGAATAATTGACCCAAACTCTTCCCTGCCCCAGTTCCAACTCCTCCTTTAAGAACATCACATTTTAAAATTTCTGGGAGGGGCAAAATACAGGTGTGCCCTTCAGGACACCCTGCCCACACAAGTCCACCCTCTGGCGTGGGCCTCTCAGCAGTCGCTCGAGGGCCTGGAAGGTGGTCAAAGGATCAGTTCATCTTCATCCTCCTCATCCGTGGATCGCAGACTGGGGCCCTGCAAGATGTCAGCCAGCTCCTCTTCTGGTCCTGGGCTCTCCACCAGCTCCAGCTCCTCCAGCTCACCCTCTGCTTTGGCTAAGGCCATGGGGCGAGGGGTATCTGGGGACGGGGGTGGCACAGGAGTCTCTGGGGAGGCAGGAGCCACATCCCCAGCTCCAAGGACTCCAGCTCCATCCTCGGGCAGGCTCCAGCCCTCTGCAGGAGGCGGGGGTCCCCCAGGGCTCTTTCGAGTTGAAGTTGTGTTCCGGAAGCTGGCAAGGGGAGGGCGGAGCTGCACCCCAGATTTGGTGTGGCCCTCAATAGCCTTCTGTAGCTGGTGAGGAGTAGGAGAGGGAAAGAGGCACAAAGTAGGAAAGAGAAAGATGAGGGCAGTGGGGGAGAGACAGGTGAGAACAGACACACAAAAGGAAACAGTAATGGGAAAGAAACAGAGGGGCAGGGAAGGAGAAGTGGAAAGACAGACAACAGGAACAAAGGAAGGAGACAAGGAGGAGACAAGAGCATGACTGACAGCTCTGCCTGCCGAGCGGCAGTGACTCTCCAGCTCCCCTGACTCGGGCCCTCTGTTGACCCTTCCTTCCTAGTGACTTTCTTAGTCTCATCCACCTACCTCTTTCCCTCCCATGGCACACTCTTTGAAATGTGACTCAGGCCATCAGTGGAAGGTGATGTGGGATCTCACCTGACGTGGAGAATCCTGCCCCCTTTGCAACTGTAGCCATGATAGGCTTTGTACCTCCCACTGGTTGCTTCCCCCACTTCCTCCAGTCTCTGGGTGAGAAGTGGAGAAACCTGGAAGGACTTCCAAGATATCCATACCATCCCTTCCTCACTCGTACCCCCTTGTCCTATGCACATCTGCCCCTCTGCTCCTCACGGGGGACCCATCATTGTCCATTACCTCTTCCAGTGCCAGGACACCCCTGAGCTTTCCCATGCTGGTCACGTAAGCAAGATGGAGGCCGAGAAGCGAGAAGAGGGTGTGAGTCTGAGTGGGGAGAGCACAGGTCAGTGCACCCCGCACACCTGCCTGTCCTCCCTACAGCCCTGAGCAGCCATCAAGGCCTTGCCTTGTGCAGGGTCGTTTGCTCCACCAGCTGGAAGGGAGACTGGTCGATACAGCAGCAATCGAAACAGACAGGCTGGCTCAGCTGTTCCTGCTCCCAGGCTTCAATCTGTCAGGCAGAGTAGGACCATCGCCAATATCACAGAGGCCCAGCTTTGACCCGAACTAGCCTCCTTGTCCCTGCTCAGAACACTGAAACACAGGTGAACCACTACTGACCCTTGTTCCCAGAGGACAGTGCCTCTCTCTCTCTCTCTCTCTCTCTCTCTCTCTCTCTCTCTCTCTCTCTCTCTCTCATCAGGCCCTAGACCCACCCTGCACTCTTGGATACCAAGAAAAGGGTTCCTTCTTCTAGTCTCCCAAGCCCTCATCCATGGGACCCCAAACACTGACTTCCGACCTGTCTTTCCAGCCTTATTTTCCACTATTCCCATAGACCCCCTGCTCCAATCAAACCCAATCGCTTTCTGTTCTTCAAATGCACCTTCTGGTTGTCTTTGCTGTTCTCACCACCTGGATTCTGGCACCAACCCCCTCCCCACATCATGTCATTCCTGACTTTCCCAGCCAGACGTACTGTCCTTCTTTTTCTTCCCCGTGGAGCTCTGCAAGTCTTTCCTTTTCAGAAATGGCATTGGTTATGCTCGCCCTTGCCTGGCGTTTGTCTTTCCTCTGCCTACCAGACACCTGCTCCTTGATAATGTTGCACGCACCGATTGCTATATACATGAAGAAATTAGCACAGCAACCTCTGATGAAGTCAATCACGCTGAATATGTATTGAATTTAAGCAGACTGGCATCTCATGGCACTCAGGTAACTTGAGGAAAGCTGGTTTTAGTTTGTTAGTTTTTGAGTTTGGTCTATGATAGGAACATTGAGGCACAAAGGCCAGTATAATAATCCTTTTTTTTAAAACTGGGGATCAAATGCAGAGCTTAAAGATGCTAGGCAAGCACTCTACCTCTGAGCTACATCTTCAGTCCTTTTTACTTTTTATTTTGGGTCTTGCTAAATTGCCCAGGCTGGCCTCAAACTTGCCATACTCCTGCCTCGGCCTCCTGAGCTAAGGTTACTGGCATTCTAGCCTGGCTCCAGCAATTCTCTTGACATTAGATAAACAAATTGGAAACTCCAAGATTACAAACGAACCGTTATGTCATAAAAGGACCTAAGAGTTTCTAAAATTGTTCTTCAGTCTGTATTCTCTGAGTGATGTAGTGCTTTACCTACTTATTTCCCTTTTTGTCCAAATCTGTACCTCTAAGCTTCGGAGAATAACAACAAAGGCTGTCACTGAATTCTAGGGTCTAGTGTGTGGCCCACAGAGAGGCTCCCTCCATCTGTCCTTTCCTGAGGCTCCTGGACAGTGACAGTCATGCCTCCTCTAAACTCCTGAATAAAGGTTCCTACAAGGTTTAACCTCAGCACAGGATGGACGAGCACTTAGCAGGACTGCTGCAGGCAGGATATATTACAGGATGGATAGGGTGGGTCCTGTCCTCTTCCATGATAATTTCTGGCCTGCTCAGCTTCCTTTTTTGCCTCTCCAGCAGCAGTAATACACGCACTTCCTCTGTGCCAAGAATCATTCTAATTGCTTTACGTGTCTTAGCTCACTGAATGCTCCCCCACAACCCTATCTTCATCTTCACGTTGCAGATGAGGAAGCAGAGGCACACAAGTGCCCAAGACTCCACAGTCAGCAATGGGTGGAGCCCGGCTTCTAGAACTGTGTGCTGACCAAGGTACAGCCCCTGTTTCTGTGTAAAGGGAAGAGGATGCTGCTGTAGGGTCTTGCAAAAAGCTCAGCACCAGTTAGAAACCAGACCTCTAACCGTGTATACTCTAAACAGAATATGCAGATTTGCTGGGACATTGAATGAATTCTTACCATATTGAATTATTTTCATAATTCCCATAGTTCCCTTATATTTTTTGTCAATACCAACATCTTGATATTG